GTCTGCTAGATTGTCTGCGGACTTCAAAATTATGTTGTAATTGTTCCATAGACACAAATCATTTCTAGAAGAGTAATAATCTGTAAGGAAATTCAATTTTTTTCTAGGTAAAGAATATAATTCAAGATATGACATATTGCAACATTTTGTAGATGGCTTTATTCGAGTAAAGTAATACACAATGCATGTTGCACTTATAAATTTTGTATGTCAAATAACAATAATAAAATCTTTCCATTACGTTTATAGAAAAACGCACTCAATATATGTTTCCATGTTTATTTATATTGAGATATCAATATTTGAACAATTTTTTTTACATTAAAACATGATATGCTCTAAAGTTTATGAGATTACTTTGAATAAGTATGTGTTTCTCTTTTCCACTCATTCAGCATTTCATAAATTCTCTTGTCGTTATAATGACCTTGTTAGCATATATAACCTATCATGGGATCGTATTTTGAATGACGTATTTCATTCCAAGTGTTAGGTTTTTTTTTTTTGTTTTATAATAAATTTGACGAAACATTCTGTCTACCCGATCTATACTTCGGGCTTAAAGCGGTGTGACCGGTCGACAGCGGATGCTTACTCCCCCTAAGCACCGATCCCATCACTGAACTTTCCAGAGGTCCATGTGTTATGCCATGTTGACAGACTTGTATTATTTGTATTTTTTAATATTGTAATATATTGTAATATATCACTTTATTTTATACGTAATATTATGTGGTCGTCCAGTTCTCATACTTGTTAGATCTATGTTCATCATGTGCCTGCCAGAAAAGTTGTTCGTTTAAGATTTTATTGAAAATAATATGTCAGCTTATCTTGATACGATTGTAGCAATAGCTATTTTCGTCATATTTTACCTGTTGTTGCTTCATGTAAAGTCGTAGGATTTATAATATCAGGGATAAGAGGGTGGATTTACATTTCATGTTTTGGTAGCCATCATACTTTACTCGGATCGTCACTTCCGGTTTAGTGACATATTTACTATAGTAATCTATTATTCAAGTTATGAATATTGGATCAGATTCTACATTTTAATTTGAGTTGTTGTGTATTTTGAGGCTATAAGTAGTCTTTATTGTCAGCATTAACTTTATTATCAGTCAGCTTAATCGGAACTACATTTGTTTACGCTATCGTTGGTAGTTACGATATTCATACGCTACTTTGTTAAGTACCTATTGTACAGCCTAGGGATGTTTTATAAACATTGAAGGTATTAATTTATTCGTCTAGTCAAGTTTATTTTATGTATTCTATTTCCAGTTGTTAATTTTACATTGTTTTATTTGTTACGATATTGTACGGAAGCTTGTGTGGCAGTAGTTCTGTGTGGGAACTTGTGTGGGAACTCAGCTTCCCGTACAAGCTGTTGATTGGTTGTTAGTTCGTACGGCATATTTTCATTGGATAATTTGTGTCATGTGACAGGGGATGGGAGGTTATATAAGCAAGCGCGTACTACGTTACGACAGATTTCAGCTAGTTGTACGGCGGCATCATTAAAAAAAAGATAAAGAAGAAAGCAAAGACGGTGAGATACTTATAATGTAAATTACACGTAATTAGCCTAGTTAGAAATCTCCTACCACACTGGACGACCTAAACTTGTGTTTCTGAAGATTCAGCTATGTTTTCTTATGTTGTTATATGAGTATTGCCTATATTGTTATGATATATTAATGAGATGCTGTACGTACAATAAATGATAAGTATGACTGATCATCATCTTAAGTATTATTCCACCAAGTATCTACAGAGAGAGGAGCCTGGTCTATTTTACATGAGAGCAAATTAAATTGGTGCATCCTGGTAAATAGATGATTTATTTAGATGATGAAGTAATTACCTGTATACTGTACATGCTGAGGATTCAGAAATACTAGCCGCCCCTTGGGTAGCTTAAATATATTTTTCGAGATCGATAATGCACTGTTCGTTATCTTCACCTTTTTCAGAAAGGTACTTTTATGAAAAATATTTTTAAGAACTTAATGTCTAAAGTCTTTAAGTTTCTTATAAGGGTTGCAATGAGTGCTAGAAAGCACTAGTTAAGAAGTTGAATAAAATTATCTAAGTAATTCCACGTTGGATAACGACGTAAGTATATACAATGTGTGATAAACAAACCTTGATATAAAGCCCTAGCAATAAGTCTAGCTTCTTTGACCTCGATCATTCATCAACGTATACTAGTACTCATATTTCTCTTTAAGGAGGAAATGCTTCAAAATCATATGTCAGTTTTAAATATCTTTAATATTCTCGAAAATAAAGTTGAATTATCAAAGAAATCTTGATTCTTAATCTATATAAAAATCCTTACAGGCAAAAATCTTAACGGGTTGGTAGCAATAAATGTTCTACCAAACCTATTTCTTTACTCCTCGCCAAAATATTAAGAGCAGTGAAGGAGAAATTTCAAAAGTTCTGTGCAACATAGTTGAGATTGATAGCAAACTAATAATTTAACTTCATGATAAAAGTGATGACTTCAACTTTTCTTTCGTCAACTTCCTTTATTCATGTAGCAATAAAACACACTCACCTACATATGCGGTTTGAGTCTTCCAGTTGATTCGATAAGCAAGAGCATGTTCTACGTCCAACAATTTTCTAAAAAGGCAGGTTATTGACAAATAAGTTGAATATACAAGGATATCAAAAGTCTCACTTAATGTCAATTTATCGCAAATTCTATGGTCGATACAAAAATCTTGTTCGCAACTACAATCTACCGTATTACCTTTCCGGTTTTTGTTTCCCGATCATGACAAGGAGCACACGGCGGGTGTGACCGGTCGGCAGGGTATGCTCACTCCTCCATGGCACCTGATCCCACCTCTAAATTTGGAGGTCCGTGTTTGCTCTGCTCCAAATTTGTATCGTTTCATTGGACTTTCGAGATTGTTATCTTCCTATTTCATACAAATTGTTAGGCCATAATTTTCACACTAAACTGTGTACGGATCCTTCCGTTTACCCGATCATGGCAAAAATAGCACTGCATTCTTGACTGGTCGACAGGAGATGTTCCCTCCTCACTGGAATCTGATACCGCGTCTCTTTTTAGAGTTTTGCGTTTGCTCTGCTCGCAATTTTTATCGTTTGATTGGAATTTTGAGCTTGATTACTGTTTGTTATCTTCATATTTCATTCTTACAAATTATAAATAGTGCTTCTCGTTTAAAACTGTTTGAAAACACGGTTTTAAATTTTTTGTGTTAGCAAGATTCTAAATGACCACATATGGTCCGTGACATTCACATATCCAGTGTAGAAGAGAAAGAGAGAGAGTTCAGTGATCAGCTGCATGTCTGATATTTTTGATAATAAAATATATTGGAAGGCTTAAATATTAATGATTAATATTCGAATTACAAGGAAAGTTATTAGTTTCGTTGCCATTTACATATTACATTTTGAGAATATTTTATGTATATATCAAGCTAAGGGTATTTGCGAATTAAAATTACTTTTTAAAAAGAAATATGATAATTAGTATTAAGATTTGCACTTTATCCTACTTTTCAAAACCAGTTATTGGAATTAATCAAACAAATGACTCTTAATTATAAGAAATAGAAAGCACAAAAAGTAGGTAGCTGTGTAAGTACCAGAACTTCAAATTCTATTCATATTTTCACAAAGTCGAAAAATACTTATTTAATATCTTCATTACTTCTGTTTTCTTTCCTAACGAATATTTTCACAAAGTTGAAAGATTAGTTTAAACTTGAAGGTTTCCATAAAAAATAAATAGCCATATCTGTAATTATAAAAGTACCTATCAGTGTGTTTTATATGGCACCATTCATTTAAAGAGAGAGAGAGAGAGAGAGAGAGAGAGATCAATACATATGGACAATAAAAATATACATGTTTATGTGATGAACCTAATTTGTATTCGATCTAAATTGTGTGGCATTTTAATCAAGAAGAAAACGTCATTATCAATGAAAAAGGGTGAGGATAACGAACAGTGATCGATCTCATAAAAACCACAAACTATACGAATCTGTCTAAAAGGCATAAACGCAGACCCTGGAAAAATTCCAGAGGTGGGATCAAGTGCCTAGGGGGAGTAATGAAATATATTGAGATAACGAACAGTATTCAAGCTCATAAGTCCATTAAACAATACAAAATAGGAGCAGAGCAAACACGGACCTTCAAAACATCAGAGGTGGGATGAGGTGCCATGTATTAGTGAGCATCCCATGCCGCATCCCCTGTTGACCGGTCACATCCGCCGAGAGCCCTATGTATTGATCAAGTAGACAACATTCCGTAGTCAAATTTAGCACTAAAACAAAGGCCTAACTATTGGTATGAAAAAGTCACTCAGTTATATGTTATATATGCTAATAAGGTCTTTATAACGACCATAGAATCTACGAAATGCTGACATTAAACGAGCTGTTGTTGAAATGCCTGTAACATTAACGTATGTTTGAGTAGCCTACCTGGGTTTAAAAATTGAACGTACTCAGAGCATTCTTTTGAGTAGCGAATTAGTTGGGAGACATAGACACCACATGCAGGTGATAGCGGAATATTACTAAATAAATAAGGAAAAGCTGAAGTCATTTCGTTTGTCATACAATTTAGTTGTTAGTTGGCCTTTGTCGTCTATAGTCAGTAAAACACCCAAATATGAAACAGATATGACAGACTCTGTGGTGTCTTTCATTTTAAGTTCAGTGGGATATATCGGGTCGGCAATTATTGTTTATTGATAATACGTCGTCGATATATCTAAATGCCGAGTTGAAGGTCACAGAAAGTGTTTTCTTCTTCACATGTACAAGATCTTGAAAAATAAAAGGTATAGTTTAATAGGAAATTTCAATTATTATGAACCTGGAAATTGATCCTTTATAACCTATTTATTTAACATGCTCAAGTCATGTCGATCTTTCTATTTTGTGTTTTATCCCTGAGGAGATTAACTTTAAACACAAGTACACCCGTTCAGAATCATGAGCCGAACCAAAAGAGATAAGAAAACAACGTATTTAAAAATTAGCTCATACTTATTTAAAACAATATTAATTTATAAGCAAACCAATTCATTAGTTTGGACATGTATCATGAGACTCCCGAATGATTGTACACATATTTCACCTTCATTTTTTGGAGTAGCAGATAAAGGAGAACAAGCTTAAATGCAACAATGCATCAAATATATCAAGAAAGGGGTCGGTGGGTGGTGAGTGTGGGTTCTAAAGTAGTTATATGTAGGAATTACATCATATATTCTAAATTCTTCTTCGTCGCTCCATGCATCTGTACACATATTTCGTAAAAACTGTTTTTTTTTCTTTTTAGACACGTGAGAAGAAAGTGCAGATGTTTCCTAAACTTCGTACAAGGCATTTACAATTTTGTAAGGGATGACTTGTGCAGGTGTGTTCTTAACTTCCTACGAGGTATCTACAATTTTGTAACGAGTGGATCTACAAATAGGTTCTTACCAGGTATTTATGTCAATTTTGAACATGTTAGCTAAGATACATAACATTTGAATTTTGATTGTAATCAAATATTCCATGCGCGGATCTAGAGGGGGGGGGGGGGTCTGGACCCTCCCCCTCTCTCTGGAATTTGCAGAGTTAGTAAAAGTATAAAATGAAGTAAATAAAAAATGACTTTAACCCCCCACCCCCACCCCCCATGGTGAAAAAGGTGGAGAAAACGTCGACCCCACAACCACCACGAAATACGTTTCACGTTTTGTTTTGGAAATGGATTTTAGGGTGTTTTTTTAGTTTGTTTTTGTTTTTTGTTTTTTTAATTGCTTGTTTGTTTTTTGTCAAGAACTTTCTGGGTTTGATAAGCTTTGGGAAGGTTTTATTTTTCTTTTGTTTTGTTTTGTTTTTTTTTTTTTTTTTTTTTTTGCTTGTCAATAAATTTCTGGGTTGGAAATATTTTTTGACTGGTTGGACCCACCCTCCTGGAAAAAATTCGTGGGTCCGCGCCTATATTCCATGTTCTTTTCAATTTATCATTTTGTTTATCTTAGATCCATGATATTATTTTATTTCTTAGAAACGCACTGCAATGTGTATTTTTTTAAAAATGTAAATGAAAAAGACAGTCGACTTTTTACTGTAGTTTGACTGTAGTTTAATTTTGGCTCGAACTCCAATCTCTCGAAGTTTTTGATCTCTCAAGGTTAAGCCATGGTCAAGTTTTTCTCTCTATATAACTGAGCATTTTTTCTTCAGATCTCTCGAACTTGATGTGTCAAAGTTCTCTATCTCTCCAACAAAGACAAAGGCCCTGTTACACATATATCAATGTTTTTTTTACTCTTGATCTCTCGAAGCGTTAAATGTGCATACATGCCAATCGGGCGAATATAATTCAACTTGGACTTACTTGGATAAAGATGAATACCCGGGGCTAGCTTTGATGAGTTAATGGGTGTTTACATAGGTGGACTACAACCGTCCGAAAATTAAATATTTTGTCATTACAATTAAAAACAACAAAAACAAACAAAAAAACTCAAAAAACAAAACAAACAAACAGCCGAGAACGATAGATTTTGGCTTGACAGCCGGGGAGACGGTGATGTTGAGAAAAGATTTCAGAGGCATGACAATTAACAAACACTTTGGGTTTAAATAATTATGGAACAAAAGTGATCAGGCCTGAAAATTCCGCATTTCATATGCCCTTTCGATCTCGAAAATCCTTTATCTCTCAAACATTTTGCAAGGTCTCTTGAACTTCGCCGGTATATAAGAATTAAAGATTATGCATATAAAATTATATCTTGAAATAAACATACACTTCACACACTTACCCCTTATTATTTAAAAAAAGTGTGCCTTTTATGCATGTATGGGTGAATTTTAAAAAAATGACAAAACCCATATTTTTCAACTTTTTGTACTTAAAGTATAGGCAATGGAAATAAATTTCTATGTCTCAGCATATGTTTTTAGATAATGTCTAAATACCTGCCAAATATCTCATTAATATCTCAATTCACTAAAAGTTATGCCCAAAAATGATGCTAAAAATGTCAAGAGTGCAACACCTTTTTATGACATTTTGAAAATTCAATATTTTTAAAGATCTGTGAAATAAATAAAAAATGGTTTATGGTGGAAATAAAGACTTCCCTGATAATATTCAAAGTATTGAGCTTTAATTGTAAACTGTATCAACTTTTGTTTGACCAAGTTGTGGTCAAGGCTGATGTTGAAAAAAATGTTATACCATGTCAGGAGTGCAACAGAAAAAAATGTAGTTTATCCAAAAAACATTGATTTTAAAAATCTGAAAGACAATTAAGTCAAAAAAGAGTTTTCAAAGTGTAAAACAATAACTGATATACAATTTAAAACTTTAAAATGTTATATAAATCACAAGCAGCATTAACAAGAGTCAAGTATTTGTGCATACCCACTAATGTCAGGAGTGCAACATTTGATGCTTTGTTCCCAAACATGAAAAAACTTTTATCAGTATATGATTCTCTGGTTTTAAATTTAGAAAATAAAGATTTAGACAACATTTTTACCATATAGATTTATTAATTAAAGGGTCTGTTTTTGTTTCGTGTCTAAATTTATATGATCAAGAGTGCAAAACATTTTTTTAAAGATTCAAATTATACATTATATATGTTATGTATGATGAAAAGACTTCTACTCATGCTAAGAAATATTCTTTAATTAGTAATGATCTATTTGAATAATTAAGTACTAAAAATTTGACAGTTTCATTATTAAAATCCTTCCTTTTTCAATTTTGTCAATTCGGATGCGTTTTTATCTTTTCTTTGATTTTTTTAAGAATGTCAAAAATAAGCACACTGAAAAATTATTATAAAGTTTAAAAAAAAAAATTATACCTTAACTTCACTGAAACAACAGAACAAGTACTCATATAATTTTCGCTTCACGGTTCTACTTTAAAGAATCCCATGCTCATGATCAAGAGTGCAACAAATATTTTAGAATTATTACTGATCAAATATGAATAAATATAAAGAAAAAAAGTGATGAGTAGAATGTTAATTGTTGACCTCAGTTGCTTATAGTGTTTTGTCCTGTGAAGGAAAATATATTATAAAATAAATTTTATCTTCTAAACATATATATATTTTAGCTAGTTTTTTTGGACATAAATAGGGAATAATTCAAGATGTAAAACCAAGTTTAAACTACTTTCATGTGTTTTCATTATGAAGTATTGGACAATTTTGAATTTTTGTGTTCTGTGGTTTTAATCTTTAATTTTACTGCAGTTAGGAGTGCAACAAAACTGTTCTATAATTATCGTGAACTCCATCTATCTTTACTAAACAATAAATTGAAAGAAGAAAAAGTTTGATACTATTTGATGTACAAAACATTATGTCTGTCAACTAATTACAAACATTTACAGTCAATTCAGAGAATAGTTTTCATCACTTAACACATATTTTTAAATACAGTATACATATATATTAAACATTGCAAATAATCTTGTTTAGAAGTCTTGAAAATATGAAAAACTTGCCGTAAATGATAAAAAATATCAAAACGACAAACTGATATACAAGCTAAGAATGGATTATTGTGTGTAATAATGTTTAAAACAATGTTAAATAAAATTAGACATCAGATGTCAGAAGTGCAACACAATAATGAAACATAGGGTCACTTCAAAATCTAGTATTTTTTGTCAGAAAACTTGTTTGTCAAAATTCTCTTTTAGCTTAAATTTAAAGAACAGGCTTAAATGTGCAAAAAACAATTTGGGGTGAATTTAATTGTTTCATATTTCTTTCATATCAAAACTTTTCAAACCAGAATTGAAAAAATAATGTAAAATAACAATCAAAAAGCCAATTTTTTGTCATATATACAAGAGAAGATACTCAATCAAGGTTTAGATTTAATCATTTATACCCCTTTTACCATTTTGAAGCATTAAAAAAACTATAATTTCTTGTGATTATGTATTTTAGAAAATCTTTTAAGGTTTAATGATATTTTATTTTTTTCAAAAGAAATTTTACTAATAAAAATTCTGAAACTTTTTAATCCAATTGTCTATTCTATTGCCACTTCAGGATTTTAAACTAGAATGCATGTGCAATATAATGATATTAGTGAAAAATATGTTATAAGTAGTTGAATGTTTCCAAAAAAGTTTGGTGGTCATTTTTTTTTTTTTTTTGGATTCACCCTACATGTGTATGATCTTCCTTATGTGTGCACAAACAAGCAATATTGACTGTTTTAACAGAAAAATGGGAAAACAGTTCTAGCGACTTTTACATATTTTTGCATTGTTTCAAACAGGTGACAATGGAGAAAATGATCATCTTTTACCAAATACAATTTACGGTGAGTTTTTTTTTACCTAGTGTTCATGACAACATTTAAGTGTATTTCACATTTATGATAGAAGAATGTTAATTAAAAAATTAATCTAAAAAAATGAGAAAAAAAAAAATTCTCAAGTTCTGCAATTAAAGACAAACATTTGCATCGCTTCAATGTCAAATACTTTTAAAGTGGCCATAAAATGTGCAAAAAGGAAGATGATTAAGTCATCTTGATTAAAATAGGACTAGACTGAAGTGTTGGTTAGGTTAACAAAAAGGATGAATATCAAGTGAAATGAATTTATTTCTTGTCGTTGATTGTAAAGATTTTATGCTTGTATTGAAATCATTTATTAAATCAAAATTCACAAGAAGGGTTATGGGGCATATCAACCATGAAGCAGAAGATGATTCATCGCTATACATCCCAAGTTACATTAATGTCATATTTCAAAAAAAAAATTGTGATAATACATAAGTGAGACTATAATACTTATGATTTTAAGCAAATGCAATTAACCAACACTACTTTTTGCGAAAAAAATAGTTAACACTGTATTATTATTGTATTATTACTCGTATTATGTATAATACACCTAAATACAGCAGTGCTTTCTATGTGATTATGAAATTACTTTAAGGTGCATTCCAATTCAGGATTATAAACTGCGTAGAAGTATGATACATACAAAAATAAATATAAAACTTTTTGAATGTAAAGAACATTAGATGATAATGTAAACAATTCATTTTATGGTGGTCCTTCACTATCAATTTCATAAACGATGGCTTGAACGACTAAAACTTCATCATCATGGCTTTCTTTTTATCGTTTAGTGACGGCATCTGTGCATCATGAGTATTGTAGAAATGTGTTCAATTCCTTTCAAAACAAGTATTTGGAATCTTGCGACCTCAGATGGACTGACGATGAAGTAATTGACAAAACAACGATTGTTTTTTGTCCGAAAATCTCCCGTTTACAAGATGACATCAAAGCTACGCTTAATGCTTTCGAAATTCAAGGTAACAATAAAAAAAGAACTTACAGTCTGGATTGTTTTTGATTTCCACAGGCTTTTGAATTAACTAACAATCTAAATTGATCAGTTTACCTTTCATGCGCAAAGCCAAAGAAAATGCTGCACTGTTTTTTTTTTATTATCTATTTCATCTCTTTCAGGTGTACCCTACATTATGCTTGTAGTTATCCACTACTGTGAACCTAGTCTCGTACCTGAAAACCTTTTAAATGATTGTAAAGATAGAAGGGTAACTCGCTTCACGAATATTCTATATTGTGACTCCAAACTTTGCTTCGAATGCCAGACCAATAAATCGGCATCAGATGAAATAAAGAAATTTATCCAAAAAAACAGAGAAAACATGAGGAAAAAATTGTAATATATATACATTATTATAACAGTAACTTGATCCGAAGAGTCGTATCACGTCGAGTTGACAGGCGCGGATCATCAGATCAAACGAGACGCGAAGCGTCGAGTTTGATCTGATGATCCGCGCCTGTCAACGAGACGTGATACGGCTCTTCGGATCAAGTTACTGTTATAATGATAAATTTATTATATACCCTCCCTTACAAGTAGCAAAATATAGTTTTAAAAAAACTTTTGAGATCAATTATATAAGATTTTTCCATTAAACAAAGCATTTTTCAAGGAACTTTTTGATGCGCATGAAAAATAACGTCATGTTTCTGTGTACTACGTCATCAGTTTCAGAGAGGGGTGATATGGATTCAGAAAACCACAGTGTGGTGATCCGGAAAGTCGGATCACACCGTCACGTGATTGTACGAAATCTACAGTAAAATTGAGTGATACAGACTTGGGTATATAATAAAATGAGTAATTTATTGAGGGTTGCTTAACTGTTTTCTGGATTTGAAAGTAGTTACATTACAAGAATTAAAATAGCGTATTTTAGACCTCTAATTGATAATGTAAAATGTGGCAAATAAAAATAATATTCACTGAACGTGTTCCTTGGCCTTTTGGATATGTGTGGTATAGAAGATTCCATACTGGATTGTGCATAAGTCTTATTTTGTTGCATTCAAATGCATTTTGAAAAGCAGACGCAAATAAGAGAAGAGGAATTCTAACATCCTCCACTGTTTTTGACAACTTGAGCTTTCTGCAAGGACTACCAAAGGAACTACGTCGTAAACATTGCAAAAAATTCGAATGAAAATTCTGTCATCTGGTTTTTCTACAATTAAAATAAAACAAATATCTAGAATCTTTCAGATTTTATTTTATTTACTGGGTAATTAAAAGAAGGTCGTTGTTTATCTTTTTTATTTATTTATTTATTTTTATTTATTTATCTATTTTTTTGCTCATAAAAATGCATCAGTAAGGATTTTCTGAAATGTACATATGTACATATTTTGGACATTCAGCAACGATGTTATGCATGCAGCAAGCATTTTAAACGCACCTGAGCTGAAAGCTCATGTTAACTTTTCCATCTTACCGTGTGTAAAATCCTAATAATTTTGACTTCACTCCTAAACTACCGGGATAATTCCATTCAAACTTCAAAACAGCAAGACATTCTTTGGGGGAGAGGATTCAATTTTATTCAAAGAAAGAGCTATATTCTGTATTAAAGGGTAAATAATTAAAAATTAATGAACATCTTGTGGCACCTTTAAAAAAAATTCTCGAAAGCCACTAAGCCCAAAGTAAATAGAAATATATTACAAAATACTACAATAGGAGATAAATTTTTATCATTGTAATCTAGAGGAAAAAAATCCTTGAAAATCATTTTCTGAAGAACAGGAGAGCCAGATTAGTTACATTAATTTTAAAACGTCTGTAGGTAGTGTGGATTAATTTATTTCAATCATGGCTTAGGGATTAAGTTAGGATCGCAAATGGGGAGTCAGAAATGGGGAACAGGCCCGTAGGAAGCAATTCCAGTATGGGGGAGGGGGTCACAGCCATACATGTTCAGTTGAGGGGCTGCTATCAACTACCCAAAATTCCTTGACAAGCAAAAAAAAAAAGCATATAGTAGCTCTGTTTTCTATAATAATCAATATATCGGCAAAATTTATTGGGGGCACGGCCCTCCGTGAGCCCCCCCCCCTCCGGTTCCTATGGCCATGGGGAACAAAGTTTTTCGTGATAATATAAATCTAAAATCAAAAACTCCCTCTGAGGACCAGCATGGGGATTATTAATAATGCTAGTATGAAAGCTTCAAGTTTTTTTTAAAGCAAGGCCCTCTGTGTCACGACTGGGCTAAATGATAAGCAAATACTCCTTATTTGTTTGAATTCAAAATGAATTATCAGATTAGATTGGGGTAGTTCCATAGTTGAGGATTACATGTAATGCATTTGTTCAGGAAGAAGCCTTTTAAAAATCTAGAACAACAAAATAATGTTACAATTAATCATATTGATGAACCCTATATTGTTTGTATTCAATGTCTATTAAATCATCACACCCTGAGGCTACAGGCCGTGGTCACAATATATGGTTACGTCTTTTCAAAGCAATAAAGCGAAAAAAATCTTTTAAGTACCTTTTTTTGAAGGTAACTCAGATAAGCGTTATGACTCGTAGGCTTTTTGTGAAACTTTTTACTTAAAATCAAACGCTAAAAAGTATATATACACTATTTTGATATAGGTTAAGAATTTGGTAGAATGATGTTTTTAAAAAGTTGGGATCACTTTAAAAAAGCTGATTAGTATGCAATAATATTTTCTCTTACTAAACTATGAACACATAATTTTAATAATTCTTTGGAATAAAAAGAAAAGTCAAGAAATTGAACGAAGAAAGAAAAAAAAAGATTTGATGATCAAGCAAGTAAGTTACAGAAATAATTTTTGAAAAGCTGAAATTGTATATAATGCGCTTTAACATTGTACACATACACATTTATAAATGATAAAAAAAAATATCGATTTCAAAAATAACAATAACTAGAGCAAAGCTCTTTGCAAAGCAACAAGTAGGTCTTCCGTCCGATTTTTAGTTTCACTGCCCATTAATACGCTTTATGAAAGAATGTTGTTTAATGAAAAATGATGGTCTGTCTTAGTAAATCATAATCATTGAAATATATATGTTAAATTAAGCAGTTTATTATTACTTCCGGTTGATCGGAAGAAACATCAATCGACAAAAAAAATAATAATTAAAAAAAAAAAATAAGAAAATAAATAAATAAAACAGGCTAGAAGTCTTCTTTTCTATTTATAATTCAATTTTTTGTTGATATCTGAAAAAAATAAACAATTTTTGACCACTTGTGGTTTAACTGGAAATTAGCAAAAGTGACGATACTCGATTAAAAACGAGATCGTATGTACTCTGTGACATTGTTTATTTTTCAGCCTGAGCTAATATCTTTATAAGTAATGAAGTATTATAGGAAATGTCTCAATAATTTTGAAATTCTCTAAATGCTTTTTTCGGATCATAGCGAGCCCCCACGATTGGCACTTCCAGTGGAAGTGAACAAAGTACTAGACATCTACATATGTTGCTCTATCATCGCTGAAAATTTACGTTCCTATGTTGGGTTGTTTATTAGAAAACATGCGGACAAACTGGCCCTCCAAAAATCATTAAATCGCGGAAATCTTCGGAACGAAAGTGACGTCGTTAAAAAAATATTTATCTAGATTTTTTTTAAATTCTATCTGACCTGAAAGTTAAATGAAAATCGGGCCAACCGTTTCCGAGAATTTGCGAGCACAAATTCGATAAGAAAAAAATAACTAGAGCATATTTCGTTGTAGAGCAACGAGTAGGTCTGATTTTAAGTGTCACTGACCATAAGTACGGTTTATGAAAGAATGTTTTTCGACAAAATATGATGTCGGTCTGTTGAATTTTGATTATCAAAATATACGCCTATATATATGAAAGATAAGCTTCTGGTTTGATCGGAAGTAAATCAATCGACGTTAGACGAGGCCAGAAGTCTTCAGTGATGTTAATTTTTCAGTTTTATGTCAATATTAGCAACAAAAAAAAAAGCAATTCATGAATTCCGGTTTTACCGGAAGTGACCAAAATAGACGATACTCGATAAGTGATGAGGTCGGGCATCCACTCTGACATTCATTATTCAATTCCAAGCTAGTATTAGTAAAAATTATCCATTTTTAACTACTTCCTGCTTGACCGGAAATGATGTCATTCGACGTTTTCTAACGATTTCTTTAGCTGCTACTTGTCATTTTGAACAACTTTATTTCAATATTTTTCTAGATATTAAGAAAACACTTTCGGCCCCTCAATATCCCTAATTTAAGTTTTCTAATACCAATCGAAATAACATTAAATTTTGAACAACGAAATATGGAGATAACGAACAGTATTCAAGCTCAAGGTCTATTTAGACAGAGCAAACACGGACCTCCAAAACATCAGAGGTTGGATCAAGTGCCATGGAGGAGTGAGCATTCCCCTCCAACTTTTCATACCCGCCGTGTGCTCCTTGTCATGATCGGTGAAAAACGAAAATGTCCGTAGACAATTCAGTATGTAAATAATGGATTAACAATTAGAGTGAAAAACGTCAGTCAGCATTTGACTTAATGATAGGTTTATTTGCTGACAAGGTCATTGTATCGACCATTAAACTTGCGAAATGATGACTTCAAACGAGACTGTTGATATTCTTGTTTTATCAACTTGTCTGTCAATACCCTGCCTCGTTCTAGAAAGTATTTATACGTAGAGCACCCTCTTGCGTATTGAATCAACTGGGAGAAAAAAAAAACTCATATACAGGTGATGAGGATATATTACTACATAACAACTATTACACACATGTCTTTACAAAATATTCATTAGAAAGGAAGAATAATTGTAGAAAACGTCTCGGAAATTCCGAAATTCTCTTTATGCCTTTTTTACGAGTCAAGAGAGCGTCGGCATTCGACATACCCGGTGGAAATTAATCACGTACTACACTCCACAACCATGTATGTATATGTTGCTCTATCTTCGCTGAAAATTTTCACGTTCTTATGTTAAGTGGTTTATTAAACAAAATTGCGGACAAACTGACCCTCCAAAAATAACTAAATCGCGAAACTCTCCATATTGAAAATGACGTCATCAAAATAAAAAAGATATATCTAGATTCTTTGATTTTGATCCAAGCTGAATGTCTTATGAAAATAAAATAAGCCCATTCCAAGAGTCGCGTGCACAAAATCGGTAAGAAAAAAAAAATAACTATAAACCTTGTAGCCATGGCATCAAGAAGGTCATCCGTTCCTTCTTCGTCATCAAAGAAATTGATTCCTCATAACACATGTACATGTACTACGTTGTGCAATCATTTTAACTCCTTAAAACATGAAATATGATAAAACATAAATTTTGCAATCGTAAAACAGAAAATATACCATATATCATTTCACAAATAAAACCTCATATTTCAGCTGAAAAACATACAAAAAAAACTCGGACATTCATGGGATTGAAGCCGGGTCGCCCGCTTGAAAATCTAACACTCTAAACATAACGCTAATGGGACAATCACTTCAAAGTGAAAAATGTCGAATATCTAGAGTTTGAGTATTTCAAAAAACAAATTATATATTAAACATTTTGAAAAGAGTCTCTATTAACCCTAAATATATCAAATATAAAATATTTCAAAAACGAAAAAGTTGAATAATCAGACTTTTTGAATTGCTTGCGGTAGCCACCGGAAGTTCTGTCATCTCCAAAATTTTTCCAGTTCAAATCTTTATCCATTCTTTAGATCTTCCTCAGACATTTCATTTTAAAATCAGAAAACTTTCAATAACTTGAAACCGGAAGTGATTTTTTAAAAATGTTTCCAAGTGTAACAATGGCATTTAATAGCGCATTATCCCTTAAAGTTTGAAGATAAACCACTCTATAGTTCTCGATATATCACGTGCACAAAAAATGTCTAAAAATAAGAAAAATGACTAGAGTTTGGATTTATCAATTCTAAAACAAAATATGTATTAATAATTAGAAAGGAGTCTCTAAAAACCCTATTTATATAATAGAAAAATACTGAAAGACAAAAAAATTGACTGATATTTTCGTTCAAAGATAACTTTGTTTATAAATTGTTAAGATGATCAATTTTGCTTCAGTAATGTGTAACAAAATATTGATCATTAAAGAGTTATTAATAGATTTAAGACTTTCGGCCCGTCTAGGCCCCTAATATGAGGTGACAGCCCGTTTTTCTTGATATCATCTTAAAGCTCTTATGA